CACTCTAATTAAAGTGCCTCAAACATGTAGTGTATCAGTGTCCCCACACTGAAAAATGGTGACAGGGGTGCCTTAACTAAAGCTAATTCAAAGTACCCTTGCTGCCATTTTTAAGCTCAGAGACACTAATACACGAGATGCTGGAGTCTGCTGGAGCGTGGTAATTACCACACTCCAGCAGACTCGATTAACTGAGTCTCCTCTGATGTGCTGTAATTACAGCACATTGTAGCAGCCTCACTGTATGTATATAGGTGCCCTAAGAATCTAAACATTCCAATGGTTGAAGGATTGGAAATCCTGAATAAGGTAGTATAGACATCCAATTCAAATATTTTGAGATTAGCCCTTCCTGGGCTTTTATTTTTATATTGGTTCTTAAACTGGGCCAGATCTCTGTAGTATTTCCCCTGGATTGTGCAGCCTCACTGGAATGGAGCCTAATCTCAGAACGAATGGAGAGCAGGTAGCAGTTCAGTGCAGGAGGAACACCTAATCACAAAACAAAATGATTAACTTGAAAGTCTCTTACTGTTCCCGGCAAGCCTGAGCAGCGGTATTCCAGGTGACCTTGTGATCAGCTATTAGGAAATAGCAGCTACCATCATGATGGCTCCATCCAGAGGGGCATTTTTTCAGGTTAACTATCTGAAATAAAAATCATTTGTTCTTAGAACATCTTGTTTATTAGTATGAATTATCTCAGATTGCTCCTTCAGGCTACTCTAGAATAAAAAATAGCATAACCATGAATTTATTCTAACAAAACTTCACAATGATTTAAAATACAATATTTCCAACTAGAAAAGATCAACAGAATACAGCATTTTGCCTAGTGGGATTGGAGGCTTGTACAAGATCAAAGCAGCAAAACTGAAATATTGGTTGTAATGTGACTACTTTCCTATTGCCAAACACTCCTGAATAGAGGAGTAGGAAAAATACATATTACTGTTGACCTCTGGGAACCAGGCCAAGCACTGCTAATGCCATAGCCATACTGAGAGTAAAGTGGGCGCATCTATATGTGATGCTACTTCGCCGTAGCAATGCACTATGGTGACATAGTGCCTGCAGGCATCTACATGTGACCAGCAGCTATGTCACCGTAGCGATGCACTCCCCCAGTACAGCATATCATCACAGTGAAGTAGCTGATAAAAATAACTGTGCACTGCTTTTTGAATGTCTCTCCCTAGCCCAATAGAAACTCAAGTCAACAAACAATATTACATCAGGGTTTTTTACATGCTTAAATTCCTTTCAGTCAAAAAAGTGTTCAAAGAGATGTCCCCTTTCTCACATTCAAAATGTAAACTGAATGCAGCAACTCAGAAGGAAATATCTACTACTGTAAGCTAAAAGCCCTTGTAACAAAGGGATATGGAATTTAAGAGATGGGATTTGGTATGATTTTTAATTAATTCTAAAGTATGTAATTGTAAACTATGTCTTTGCTTGAGAATTATATAGCTTGGTTATAAAAAAGGCTATATCCCTATAGGGTTTTCCATCAGTGGAAACTTTAAGTGAAATGATCACACAGTATGACAGATGGTTACCTTGCTTTTTGAATCCCATAACTTCCATGAAATGCCATCACACTGAAATAATTTTTGGACCCTTTCTTCATAATGCAAGAGCCCCTTTAAATCTGATGTGCAGCCCTTTGGAAAGGAGAGACCCAAATCCTGAAAAGGGAACAGGATTTGCCCATTGAATTAAAAAGGTTACATAGAATAGATCAGTTGCTAATTCAACCATTTGTGACATGCAAGCACTACAAAGGTTGAGTTTTTTCATTTATTCATCTGCTGGCTAAATGACTTTCAAGAATTAGAATAGTAAATTTTGGAATGGAAGAGTTAGGCTGAGGATCTCAGTGGTGTTAAATCATCTCAGAACACATAATGACTGAAAACAGATAGTAAAAATGCTTAGGAAACAAGAGGGTTCCATACCTGATGGCTAGAATGTAATACAGATGTCAGCTCTGCCTTATCAGCTTGTGGGACTTCTGTCTTCCTGGAGGAGACCACATTGCTTTTCAGCTCCCCTTGGTTAATTACCAACACTTCAGCCTTTTTGTTTGCATTAGCTGATGAAGTATCTTCTTCTACTCTGAGAGATACCAACCCATGATACTTGATTTTAAAAAGTAACCAAAAAAAAAAAAAGAAGAAAAAAGATAGTATTACCATGTATTAACAACTCTAAAGTTGTCTTCATAAAGATACTTTATGTTTCAGAATCATTTTCTATTTCAAATCAAAAGGAAAGAGACCCAAAAGTAAAGGAAAAACATGTACAGAATGAAAAAATTCTGAAAGTATCAACTACACTGAATCATTGTATATGTAGTTATGGTAAAATACAATAAGAAAAACATTGTGCAAATATGCAGGTGGACACAGCAAAATACGCTTACTTTAAAAACCACATCAGTTCCATTTCTAAACACAGATGATGGATGAACCTGAAAAAGTCAGATAGTAAAGTGATTTTGACACGTGTGTAATACTAGAAACAAGTAAGTAGCTATCTGTAGCTTGCTTTTCATGCAAATCTTGTTGGAGTTTCTATTGGGCTAGGGACAGACATTCAAAAAGCCTGAGCCTGAATTGATTCAATCTTTGCAGGTTAGTTGAACCTGCAAAGCTTGAATCGATTTGGAGGTGGATTCCCTTTACATTCCAGAAATGCAGGCACATGCCTGCAGTGGCTCAGGCTAGAAGCCAGGGAGTGCTAAAGCAGCCCTCTCTTCCCTTTCACTGTACTGAGCTGAGGGAGTGGTGGGGCATGGCCAGGCCCTGGCAGGAAACTGTTATTAGCCCATCAGGGAATTGATCACACTGTTTACCACCCCATTAAGAAAACAACAAAGGGATATTGCCAGCTACCTGTTGGTTCTGACTGTTGATTCAGCACAGACCATAGCCAGCATGTGGTCTGCTAGTTAATACACAGACACCTCTCTGCAAGGCAGAGAGGAGGGGGGAATTACTGCTAGCAGGGAGTGACAAGGGGAGGGGTGGAGCAGGCTGCAGTCTTTGCCAGAGCTGCAGCCAGGGAGCAGAGGGGAGGGGCCAACCCTGCCCAGAGAGCATGCTGGGATGCTGGGGGAGTCTGGTTTATTTTAAACCAGCAAGGGGTCTGGGACAGGCATTGCATAAACTGATTTGACCCAGATCAGTTAAGTCTAATACTACATTCAACCAGGTTCATCTCAAACTGGTTTCAGCCATTTTCAAACTGTCTTATGTGCACTGAACATCTGTTCTGTTATAGGTTTAAACCAGTCTCTGATCACTTAAACTGGTTTATGTGTAATGTCTGTCCCTAGCCTTGGTGGATAATCTCGGTTAGCAAACCATGCAGAATTTATCTCTTATTTTTTATTTTTTTCCAAGCAATAGAGACTGAGAACATCTGAAAGTAGTTACATGCGGTACATAAAATTGTTCTCATAGCCTATTTCCATAATCAGTTAACAATCATAGTTGTATCTTAATCAGACCAGGATACATGAAATCTGTCCCCTGAGGAACATCCATTTTTTTCAAATTTAAGAAAAGTCTTTTTTTTGGTGTGGCTTTTTTTAATAGACCTCTCTGCTGCTATAAATGAGCTGGGTTCAATACATGCATATCAACTGCTGATGGGCCCTGATCACATTTTTGCCTGGTGTACATTTCCTTCCTTCACTCTATCACTTTTACATACACACATATTTTCAGCATCAAGATCTTTATACAAAATAGCTCATGAGTGTGCTCCACTGAAAATTCAAATATTTTCTGACTGCACTTAGCTAAGATTGTTTTGAAATAAATACATGTAGAAACTCCCCATGTCTTATCACTCCACAGTACAGCTGCCTTACTATTTTGCCATTTCCAACTGCTCTTAGTCTAGTCCTTGACCGATTCACCAACTTGAATTCCGGTAGCATATTTCCCTTCTGCATCATCACCCCTTCGGAAGAAGACAATGGGATCCTTTCCAAGTGAACAGTGCCAGGGCTGGAGGGCAATAAGGAGCTGGAGGAAACTGGAAGCAATGCATCTGTCCTCCATAAGTTGTGCTTGCTTTGGCCAGAGGAATGGAAAAAGCTGCACTGACCTGAAAGCATACAAGATGGCAGATGGTCAGTTCCTTCTCCTCCATAAATAGATAACTGGTCACAATGACTTGGACACTGAAACAGTTCATCATTAAAAGTTGGATGATTTTTCATTTTAAGTTGCTGATTTGTTATTCATTAGTCCTCTTTTCTCTGGTTTGTTTAGCTAGAGGAAAACTGCTAGTACTGTCTGACAGTAATACAATTTTAAGAACTTTATCACAAATACTAAACCCATCTTCCTGTGAATTAAATTAATTAGTAAGTATCTGTTGAACAATATTTTTTCTAGTATTACTAACGCATATGATTAACCTATCCTTTATGCGCAAACCCAAGACCCAGTTTACCTCATCTACCAGTTTTACATTGGTATATTTGTTGACTTGAACTGGGTAACTCCTGTTTATATCCTGTGTTACTGAATAGGAAACCAGACCCTGAACTTTTAAAAATGACTGTTGTAGGACAAAGCCAAATTCATTTTTACGTTTTTATTTAAGATATGTTCTGCTTAGCTGCCAGAGAAAATATACTATAGCCCTCAAAGGATTTATCTGTCTTGATGATAATTTCCCATTTTCCTCCTGTTGTTTGCACTGTGGCTAACCTGTGGTACACATGCCAGAAGTGGCATGGATAGCCTCTGCGTGCCACGTGGCAGATTGAAGCCAGTATAGGTAGTACAGTAGCACACAGAGCAGGGAGCAGAAAGCAGAGCATTAGATCAGACAGATGAAGGGCATTGAAGTGGCACTCAGAGAGGGTGCAGAGCTAGTTTGTGGCACATTTACCAAAATAGTTGGCCCCACTACCATATTGGATTACTGAAAAATACTAGAGCATTGCAACAAAATGGTCAAAACCATCATAATGCTCATTATTGTATGCTGGAATGTCTTGGACCATGACTGCAAAACACCAAAGAATTTGTTTTAAAGGTTGTGTTTATTTGTTATATTTTTTCTGACATTTCTCTGAAAGGAGTGCAGTCATAATCACTAGAAAAAATGTTTTAATGTTCCTTCAAAATTATTTGTTTGAAAACAATGAGAACTGAAATTGAACACTCTTGTTGTTAGCAAGGGTTTTTCTCTTTTTGTACTTGTTGCTTCCTTCATGCTGTGTTTCTTAAGAGGAAGAATATGGTTATGAGAAAGAATAAAGGGTCTGTAACTGTCAAAACTTTTCTTTAAAAATAAATTAAGCATTTTGATTTGAAGGTAAGTGTTAGCAACATTTTTTGTTGAAAATAAGTAGCTGCTCAGCCAAGATTGTTCCAGATTTTAAAGATGAAAATCAAAAGAGAATACCTCCTTTTGAGTCCAAAATTTTCACTACAGCTTTTGTCCTGGTGCCAAGAATTGCATTCACAGGGGAGTTCAGAACTACTTCAAAGACTTCATCGTCTTCCTCTAATCCGTCATAGGTAATTACTATATTCCACTTCTTGGTTGACATTCCTACAAGAAATAAACATTTTAATTACTCTTTAATTGCTATTTCAATCAATCTGGGTGTCAGAGAAATACATTAATTAACATGTCTATGGCTAGAATGGAATAGGTTGTGTATACTATTGTGCACCTACCAACTGACTGGACTCCTGCTGTTCTCCCAAATAACATTAAGAGACCAAATTTGTTCCTGGACAATGATGATATAGTTCAAGTGCATGTAGAGTAACAAAAACGTGCCTTAGACTTGATGGATACAATACGCAAATGCAGGGCTTCAGTTGCAATATTAAGGAGAAATGGAAAGTATCCTTTTTATCCTAGAATCTTAATTTTAGGGTTACAATTATTTAAAATATTTGTATAACCAATCAAAGAATACCTTGGCTTTAAATACTACACTTTAGAAACCAGACTTGGTTCTTGACTCATTTGCTGATTTCAACTGAGTTACTTCAGATTTATACCTCTGGAAATGAAAACAGATTCTTACACCAATACAAAGAGATATTCTGGTTCTTTGTTGAAATAGCAATGAATAAGTGTGCGTTAAATGATTGTGTGCTTATACATAAAGAAAACACACTCACACATGCACATAAACACAACAGTAGTTTAAATGTGTATTGATGTGAGAGGATTATTTTCTATTAGATAATTCCGTCCAGGAAAGTTGTATTCCAGTTAGTCAGAATCAGATATCAGAATAGGCTTTTTTGTCATAGAAATAACTTGGGTTAGATGTATTTTTGCTTACAGAATTGCACCACAAAGTTAAGATGAATGTTTGGTGGGAAAACAATAAGTATTGCATGCAATATTTATTTTATTACACATGCATTGGACTCCAATTTGTTTTAGTCTCTATTTCTGAGTTACCTTTCATTTGCATCTCTAGTCTGATGCTCTAGGCCCAATGCTATGCACATAGATATCCTTTTGACTTCAGGGGGGTTGGATTGTGTCTGTTGACACTGTTAACCTTCACTTTCAATTTATTAATTGTATGTGCTTCTTAATATGGTTTCTGGTTGTATATGTAATTTATTTTAAAAAGCATCAAATTAGTTAATCAATCTTAAGCAAATATACCTCTATCCACAAATAGGGAGCTACCTCAAAAATCTATCTCCCCTCAAACAAAAGCTTCAGAAAACAACTGCCTTCATGCCCTGGAGATCAACAGATATGGGGCTTTTGCTCAGTAAACACAGGCAAAGGACTTGGTATTTGGCAAGAGGCGGGGGATATATGCCAACACAGAAAGTGTGTGGTAGTGGACTGTTCCAACCAAAAAAGTACAGCGTGCTTGTTGCAAAAGTCATGTGGGATATGCTGATTTGGTATCTCTTTGGTAACCCCAGTGGTAGCAAAAGAGTGATGTAGCTGTGATGTCCATTGTAAGCAGCAGATTTCAATAACAACAAAAAAGCAGCTTTCCCTTAGAGTGAATCAGTGTATACATCTTTGCACCAAGTTCAGAGCATCTGCTTAGATCAACACTGAAAATGTTCTGCCTTCAGCTTCCAGACATTTCAATCTAAGTACTAAGTGTATCAAACAATTTTAGGGACATGGAGAGAGAGGTGGATTTATGATGAAGAAGGAACCAGCCATGTAAGGTATTTTTTACACCAACATCAATATCCTGGTACCACAGCTTTTCATTTAAAATAAAAAGACTAGCATAAAGGTCTTGGTTCTGCACTGTTACCCATAGAATAGATTGTGTTCTTTTTCCTGCCAAAAGCCTGTCGCAGAGGGGTGCTTTAATTTAATTTTTTATTTGCTCCCACTCTGTTGCTATTCCATCTGTATTCCTGTCTCTCAACACTCAATGCTCTCAGCAAACCGCTGGGGAAAAGCACCAGCTTCAGAGATGTTATTTCAATTCAGGTGTTCTAGGAAGAACTAATTTCTCCACCAATGTGTTTATTGCATCATCCCTCCCAAATCCGTTTCTAAAACATGATGACCAAAAGTTATACTTGGGACATTGTGCTTCATCTTTATGCCAAAGCCATCTCAGTAAGAGACAATGACATTTAATTTTATTAGACTTTTAACTGAACTAAATGCCACAGATTTTCCTTTGTGATAGCCTGGCAAATCCTCAATAAATATATGTTCAAAGGCTGCAGTCCTACAGACTCTCTGTAGCCAAGAAAACTGTCGGCATTGCCTTTCTGCACAACAAAAGCTGACATCCTATCTGGGGCACCCTCTCATACAGATTCCACAAGGTTGGGTTGAAATTTGCTTATCACTTCACCCTTATCTTTTCTTTTTCAAATGCGGAAAAGTGCTTAGGCTATTTTCCCCATAAAACAGGCACCATTTGTTTGAGACTCGCACAGATGATATTTCTTATTTCCTCTATAGTCATGGTGATGTTTTGTAATTATAATTACTCCTGGTAGGCTGTGTAGAATCTCAGTTGGCATTTCAGGCAACAGCCAAACTACATTTTTTCAATTCAAGTCTTAGGTTGAGGCTCTGAAATGTGCTGAAAATCAGATATGCATGTGCAAAGGAGATAATGATGACAGTAAGTGTGTTCTCACACCTCAGTATCTACTTGCACATACAAAATACACCGGCATGGCAAACAAGGAAACTTTGTCCCTGGTTGGTCTATACATACCCACGTACACAGACAAGCATGGACTTGGAGTTTGATTGTAATGAAGACTGCAGTACAGAGAAATAAAAGTCAGATCTCCTTTATTCCAGAAATCTGGATTTTTACTGATTCTTTATCCAGGAATCCCCCTCAAACAACAGCTTATTCATATTTATATGAACTTGCTATTGTTTATTAGAGACCCTGACCAAAATCAGGGCTCCACTGTGTTACATGCTTTTCAAGATGCAATTTCTGCCCCAAGCAGTTTACAATCTCATGTTCCAACCCTGTCAATACTTACACTCACACTTAATTTTAAGCATGCAAATATTTTAATTAAACTCAGTAACCAAACTGGATGTAACAGGAAAAAAGAAAGATTACTGCACTTCACAGATGTGGAACTGAGGCAGAGGGATTAAACGTGAGTTTCTCTGCTGTACCTCTTAGAAGCAGACCACTTAACTTACAACCCAGTGTAAGGTCAGATAGAATAACTAAGCTACATCCTTCTAATCTTGTGCTGCTCCAGCTGCCTCTCCAAACTCTAGTATAACCGAAACTGGGGACTGTTCGTTATAGCCTCCTCCCAGGGCTGCTCTATGGCTCTAGCACTGCCTAGAATGTCTACACTAGAGTTTATCTTGTGGGATAGAGTGCCTTCTCCAAGTATCTTCTGCTGTCTGTATCAGAAGAATCCTCCCATGAGAATTTAGGAGTCTTCTTTACATTTCTCTGGCCGTTTTACCTTGCATAAATGAGCCAGGACAAGGGCAAATGAGAGAGATTTGGGTGGCACAGGAAATCTGTAGAAGAGGCAGGACAGAACCCAGGTAAGGAAGTACAGGTTGGATGAATAGACAGTAAGGTGGATAGAAAACTGGCTGAATCATTGGGCTCAGAGGTTAGTAATACATGGCTAGACTTCTAGTTTGCAGCTGATAACAAGTGGAGTGCTCCAGGAGTCAGTCCTGGGGCTATTTTAGTTCAATATCTTCATCAATGACCTAGAAAATGGCACAGAGTGCACCCTCAGCAAGTTTGCAGATGACACCAAGCTGAGGGGAGTAGTAGATATGCTGGAAGGTAGTGCTAGGACTCAGAGACCTGGACAAATTGGAGGATTGGACCAAAAGAAATCCCATGAGGTTCAATAAGGAGAAGTGCAAAGTCCTGCACTTAGGACAGAATGATCCCATGCACCAGTACAGGCTGGGGACTGATTGGCTAAACAAAAGCTTTGCAGAGAAGGACCTGGGGGTTACAGTGGACAGTAAGCTGAATATGAGCCAACAATGTGCCCTTGTATGCGAATGGCATACTGGGCTGCATTAGTAGAAGCGTTGCCAGTAGATTGAGGGAAGTGATTATTCCCCTCTATTCAGCACCAGTGAGGCCACATCTGGAGTAGTGTGTCGGGTTTTGGGTCCCCCACTACAGAAAAGACGTGGACAAATTGTAGAGAGTCCAGAGGATGGTAAGAAAAATGGTTAGGGGGCTGGGGCACATGATTTCTAAGGAGAGGCTGAGGGAACTGAGCTTATTTAGTTTGGAGAAGGAAAGACTGAGGGGGGAATTTAATGGCAGGTTTTAAATACCTGTTTTCAAAGGGGATGGGGGTAGACTGTTCTCTGTGGTGGCAGATAACAGATCAAGAAGCAATGATCTAACGTTGCAGCAAGGGAAGTTTAGGTTAGATATTAAGAAAAATGCTCTCACTAGGAGGGTGGTAAAACATTGAAACAGGTTATCCAAAGAGGTTGTAGACTCTCCATCTTTGGAGGTTTTTAAGACCGGCTAGACAAAGCTTTGGCTGGGATGATTTAACTGGGGATGTTCTTGCCTTGAGCAGGGGCTTGGACTAGATGACCTCCTGCAGTTCCTTCCAACCCTAATTTTCTATGATTCTATTACCTTGATTCCCATTCAACTTCCCATCTCACTCTCCACATTTACATCATTGCATCAGTTAATTTATTATTAAATTAAACCTGACATGCCAAAGCATACCTGGATCAAACTGAATGAGCTTAGAAGGAGGTATAGTAAAATCCTTGCCAAGTATAGCAGACGCTTCATTGACCTAAGAAGAAATTAGGCAATAAATACTATACAACTTGAATGAATGAAATTTAATAATAATAAATATATAATTTTAATGAAAAAGCATCATTTTCTAAATTTTCTAATATGTGCTGCAAGGTACTGGGGATATCCATCACCTATCCATGAAGCCTCCAAAGTACATACAGTATTTTATGATACTCTGTGAGACCACAGTGAAAACAGAACTAGGAATAAAATAAATCTTGCTAGTTTAAACAGCAAAAATTCAATTCCAAACTCAGCTGTGGTTTAAAAATTATAATGTAAAAGCTCTTTATATTATCAGAAAACAGATTGTGTGAAGCCAACTCCCACCCTTCATTCTTC